ATGCCAAGTATTCAGGTCAGAAAAGAAAAAGTGACTCAAGTCTTTGAGCACAGGATAACAAACGACTATGTACTCAGCCCTTGCTTCAAATTTCAAGTGCTTGTGCTCTGATTCACAAGGTCCCCGGCACATTTATTACAGGGTCTGGAACAGAATGAAATTGGAAATGAGTGACAGTTATATGGTGGCATACTGTAAAGCTGGATGTGATCCTTGGAGTGTTTGAGCTGATCGTCACACCTCCAGTGTCGGGAGCTGGAGCCGGAAGCCCATGGTGCTCACAGGGACTTTGGTGAAACTCACATGGATCAACAATGTTTGATGGCTGCTAGAATTTTTTAAATACTCCAGAGAAAGAATAAATAATTTTTGTTAAGCAGAATCAAAAGAAGAATCTAATGCAAAAGGAAAATGCCATTACATGTTGAGATTATTTTTTTGTCTGATGCACTCCACTTTTCTGGTCATTGCAAAGTCCATATTAAAATCTTGTCTATTGGTTAGCAGCTCATATTTTCAGTAGGTTTCACTCCTGGAGAGGATCTGTTTTGCTCAGGGGAAAAGAAATGGCTTTGGCGAAGCAGGTATGAGAATTAAACAAGAAGGTCATGCTATTCTCAGAGAGGAAGAGCTGTTTCACCACAACCTCTCACCACACCAGCTGAAATGGCAAAAAAAATTCTTCTCACATAGCAATGTTCTCACAACCCCCATCAATCATTTGTTTATGTTTCTTTCAACAGATCTCACCCATCATCTGTTTTAGAAGACATAATTTTAGGGATTAACTCGGTGGGTTTTATTTTTTCAGAATAAAAGAACTAGCTATCTTTATCAAAGTTATATAGTTTTCATATAAGTGACTTGGAGGAATAAAACCATCCTGAGAAACACTTGCTTTCAAAAGGATCAAATACATGAAAATCAATAACATTATATGATGATCTTTCAGACCCTTGATGCCTTGGTTTTTCCTTTGAATCACAAGCATTTCTAGGATTTAAATCTTTACTGCTTTATTCAACAGGATCTTAATTTAAAAGAACAATCAATAATCTCCAGGAAAGCAAGTTCATTGACCAATTTGGAAAATTGGAAATTATGAGGTTCTTCATTTCTGTACCCAAAGTAGATATGCATGGTTGAGTGTGGTGGCTCACACCTGTAATCCCAGCACTTTGGGAGGCCAAGGTGGGCAGATCACTTGAGGTCAGGAGTTTGAGACCAGCCTGGCCAACATGGTGAAATCCCATCTCTACTAAAAATACAAAAAATTAGCTGGGTGTGGTGGCAGGTGCCTGTAATCCCAGTTACTCGGGAGACTGAGACAGGAGAATTGCTTGAACCTGGGAAGCAGAGGTTGCAGTGAGCAGCGATTGCGTACCACTGCACTACAGCCTGGGTGACAGAGTGAGACTCCATATCAAAAATAATAATAGTAACAACAAAATAGATATGCATAAATCCAAAAATGGTACCTTACTCAGAAAAGGTTAATAGAATTTCATGAAGCAGGTGTAGAAGGGACCCCACACACCATCCATGAATACATCAGGTAAATTCAAGCTCTCCACTTGATTAAACAACAACATAGATCGCATCTGCAGGTAGTTTAGTGAGAGTGGAATTATTACCTACTTGTACTCTCGTGGCTCAGTGAGACAATCTACTTTGGCCAAGAGGAATTAAAGGGCCAAGACAATTATCTGCCTCCAAATTTAGAGGGGGATTTTCCTTGCATTGTCTTGATAGGCTGTCTCTGTTGATGAAATATACTATGTCACTCCCCAACAGGGTGCCACAGAAAGGGCTCCAAATGTCCTGGCTACAGAGGCTGAGTGAGATTCTGGGAGGGTAATTTCAGTGTCTGTTCTTCCCCTCCCTCCATACCCTCTTTAATCTCTTAACAACTGTGGGTGGTTAGTTTGGTTTGAAAGCCAGTGGTTTAGCCTGCAATTATTCTAATTCACTGCTCTGTCCCCACAGCCTAGAAAAAAGCATGTATCTCTATAAATATTTATTGATGGGACATATTTCCACCTGCAAGCCATGATATTTGCCAAGTCAATCTGTAGCCTACTTGGAATACACCCAGCTCTGCCTTTGAAAAATATGATTAGGGTGTGAAATGTGACTCCATGCCTGCTGCCAAACCATACAGAACAAGTACATGGTCCCCCAAAGTGCCATCTGTGCCTGGGAAAATCCTATGATGGTTTAAATCACTGTGAAAACCAGCCCGACAGACCAGCAGAAAGAATTCTGCCTCAGTCTACAGTTCAGTTTGCAAATTCTGGGTTTCTCATTATTACTGTGAACGGAATGCAGGTACGATGTGCACAGCAGCAGAGAGTCAGAGTCTCCAGCCATTCTGGCATGGGTTTGCCTTTGGTGGAGTTAGAAATCCAAATCCAGTATTGTTATGGGTGGCTTGTTCTGACAAATCCTCATTCTCAGAATGTTTGCAAATATCATTCTTGTTTCATAAAAAGTTGCTAATTTCAATCTCTTTTCTTTGGCTTGTTTAATTTTCTATCTGAGGTCCAGACCCAACAGGTGAGGTTTTCCTGAGGGATGTTTTGGCAACTTTTTATTGTGTTTTATCTTCTGAGCTAAGGTCTTACTTTTTAAATTGTAAATGGAGTAAGGTTTAAAATCTGCAAGTTAAATAAACAAAAAATATATCCAGAAGAGTGTTAGCAAATGTTTTCTTTAAATGTCTCTTCTCTGTTCCTCCCACTGCTACTAGAAGGAGTAGAGCTAAATAATGCACAATTCCTGACTGCCAGAAGCCATAGAGGAGAATGAGAATTGGAGTGCAGTGACCCTTGACCATCAGGTTATTAGCAGATTTTTTTTTCAGAGGGTGAAAGGGCTGTGGTGGAACTTTGCTCATGGGCCCAGGACCCAAACCGCTAGAAGGGAAGCAACTAAATGTGACCAAATGCACTATGAGGTATGTGTTATCTGATATCAGATAGCTGTGCCCTGTGCCCCCATTAGACAGGAAGCGAAGTATCACTGGAAAAGGCTAAGCTGATAGCTGCCACCTAGTCTTTGATCAGAATCACATGCTCACTCTATGGGTCCAGTGAAGCAGAGGCATGAGTCATACCCAGAATCAAAGACAAGAATCTCTCTAGAGCAAAAGGCTTGAAACCCACCATGTCCAGGAAATAGGGGAGCTCTCCTTAGCCATAATCTGCAAGGTGCAGGCTACAAAAAGCATGGATTTTTTCCTATACATTTCTTCACAATTTCTGCTGGCTTTCTACATTTTTTAAATGTGAAGAAATTCTACACATTTCTTCATAACCCTTGGTATCTTTGGCCCAACCAATCTCTATATGAGCCAAGATAATAAATCCAATACAAAATCAGACTTGTGCAATTAATTAAAACACACACACCTACCCACCCGCCCACACACGCACATGCAAAACTAGTATTTGGTAATATGGGGATGCACCCATCCTCAAGAAAAAGGTCCTTTTTCCAGCCTATCACCAGGATAAATAAGAGTTGAGCATCTCAACAAGCTATTTAATAACTGCCATAATGCTCATCTGGCAGCACTGGTTTTCATATGTCTTAAATCAATACATAATAGAATCTCAGCTTCCAAGTCTATGAAATAAAACCTAAATAGTGAATTGATACAAAATATGGCAAGTGTGTTCAAACCCTAAACCCAGAGCCAATTAAATATATAAGATCTTAAAGCAGAGTATTAACCCAATCCATGTCTCCAAACTGGGCCCTAAGTGCAGCCAAGGATGGAAGCAGAAAGAGGTATTACACCTAGCAGCAAGGTGGGTTGGCATTGTCTCCAGCACCATAACCAGAGGCTGGTCACTGTGCTTTCATCTCTGGTCCCAGATACAGAACCCACAGAAGGAGAGCTGTAGTTTCCTTATCTATTTTCCAATCTCTGGGACTGTCTTTGCTTCTAGTAACCTTTCATGGGCAGAGTCTCACACATTAAAAATATGAAGCCAAAGCTTAATGCTGGGAGGAAGAGGCGTTAAGCCATGAAGCATCAAGATGGAAAACCTGCTTTGGAATATTCTTGTGATCCTAGTCCAAGTCACATCCAACCTCCTTGTGCTGGTGGGAATTAATTTCTTTCTTTCTTTTTTTTTTTCTTTTGAGACAGAGTCTTGCTCTGTTGTCCAGGCTGGAGTGCAGTGGCATGATCTCAGCTCACTGTAGCCTCTGCCTCTCGGGTTCAAGTGATTCTCGTGTCTCAGCCTCTGGAGTAGCTGGGGTTATAGGTGTGCACCACCACACCCAGCAAATATTTTTTACTTTTAGTAGAGACTGGGTTTTCACCATGTTGGCCAGGCTAGTCTTGATCTCCTGACCTCAGGTGATCCACCCTCCTCGGCCTCCCAAAGTGCTGGGATTACAGGCATGAGCCACTGCACCCAGCCCGCACTGGTGGAAATTTCAACTTAATTGGCAGAAAGCAGAGAGGGGAGAGATAAACATTCCACAAGGTGAAGGCTTTCTGGTATAGCCTGCCCACTCACAGTACAAGATGTTCCACATAAAATCTGAGAGCCCAGCCCAGTTTCAAAACTTCAGCCACAGGAGTACTGTGAATAGTCATGGATCTACTGCTCAAATAAATAGCCTCCTCTCTCACACCAGTCTTTAAAATGACTATTTAAAAAAATCATTTTAAATCTGTTTGTCAAACTGTGGCTTCCCTAAACCCTAGACAGTGAAACTCAAGATTTGCTTGCAGAAATTGAGGCTAACACGTAGTCTTCTTCTGGTCCCCAAATGAGACTGAAACACTTAAAGACTTACAGTCCATCATAAAAAGAGATAAATTATCATCTCACCTGGAAATGGATCATCTGAAAGGAGGTAGAGAAAAACTATGAGTGCATGGGTGAGGGTTTTAATTAAAATGCTCAAGCTTTCATTAATGACCAAGGGAAAAAACCTAAAGTTGATTAGACACCTGCATGTTTCAGCACAGCACTAGGAGCTTTACAGAGCTGATTTTACTTAAGTCCTATTTTAGAGCAAAGGAAACAGTCTCAGGGAAGGCAAGCTCACAACTGGCTACTCAGTGTCTTTTATTTCTGCCTGTTTCTTGGCCCCAGAAAATGCAGTATTTTGACACAGAAAAAACATTACAATGAGTGTGAAATCAAACACAATAATGGTTTTTGAGCTGAGGTTTAGTCATTTGGAGCCACATGGCTATCCCAAGGCCCAGCCCCAGGTCACATGCTTAAAGCTTCCAGGCGGTTCTCATCATGACAATGAAGTACACGTCAGTGTCAATGGATGCGCTCACGCCCGCATAGTAGTTCATGAACTCCTCAGGGGTCACCTGCAGTGGAAAAGTTAGAAACAAAAACGAAACTTTGCTTCTCACTCTGTCAGTCGGGGCCCACCTTGTGCATCTGTAAATAGAAGGAAATAGAGGACTTCTTTGTGTGTGTGATCATGGCTGAAGAACTGATCTAAAACAAAAGAACAAGTGAGGTTGAGGACGGTGTGAGAACAGCACCTAGAAAGAGAGAAAGGAAGCCTTGAAAGTTTCTAGGCCAACCTAAATGTAAAGTGACACATGGGTTGTCATCTTTTCTCTAAGGGTGGGAGCCCGCCAGTTCAGATAAGGGAGGCTGAAACTCAGAGTAAGAAGGAAGTGTGCTGTAAACTGTAGTTAATTTTATCTTTCCGTGACATGTCAGAAACAACATGTCACATCCTTGTGTCAGGATAAGTGATGTTTTCCTTTTCCAAAACTGGAGTTCCGTCCTGCAGATGAAGAAACAGATTTCTAGTTAAAACGCTCCTGGGGTGCATATTTTTCTAACACATGAATATCTCATTCAAGGTCCAGAGTGAATAAAAAGCTTAACCCTGTTTAATGTCTCCCACCCATCCTGGCTTCTCTCCACTCTATACCCATGACCGTCTCTTTGAAATATTGACTAATGTGTTTATCTATTTTAGGATTTCGTAATACTTTGCTTTGGGGAAGAAGAAAAAACAGTTATTAGTATTATTTTTAACAGGTCTAGATAATATGTACATTTTAACCATGTTGGCTGACATGATCAGTTGGGGACATACCTATGCCTTACAAGAATCATAAGAGACGACTGACTTGTCCTTTTTGCTGAAATTATAAGTGAACAGAAAAAAATAAGTCATAGGATCCATAGCTCTCTCTCATACCACCCCTTCCCACTAAAAAAAAGGAAGAGCAGTGAGAAGAAAGGCATTTGAACTCAGCTCATAGTTGAACTGTAAATGCACATCCATAATACATGCATAGAGCCTCTGTTAAAATTAGGATACCCTTAGCATCCCTCTTTCTTGAACTTCTTTTTTTTTTTTTTTACTAGCTATCAGACCACCCTGTGTTCTATGAACTTTTTTATTCCTCTCCTCCTTTGAATTTCTCAGCCTCTGCTTTCCAATTCCCTCATTAAGGGATTATATTAAGTTTCACACATCATTATTGCCCTCTCTCTATCTTTATGATGCTGTGTGAGGTTCCAGGGAAATGTTTCTCAGTGTGGTCCACACTGCCTGCATCAGGACCACCTGGGATGTTTGTCAGAAGCCCAGGTCCTCAGGCTCTAACCCACACCTGCTGAATCAGAATCTCTGAAGCAAGTGGTTGTGGAATTTACATTTGTAAAATCTAAACATTCCAGTTAATTGTTGTGCACACTACCATAATTTAACTGGGAATATCAAAGATAATTAAGCTAAAGTCTTAGTCCTCAAAAAGATTGCAGGCTGGTGAAATACTCCAACAAAGTAAGTGGATAATTTTAACAGCAAATAGCAAGTAAACTAAGAGAGTTGTACACGAGACCCTGAGCCATTTTGACTGAGCACTTTACTGTGACAGTTTGAGGAACATTTTTTTGCAGCTAATTATTTTTTAATTAAAAATTATCAAATTCCTAATATTTTTAGTTTGTTATTTCTATTGTTTGTTGGTTGAACAGGGGTGACAGCCATTGAGTGAGACGCCCTCTACATCCACTGTAATACTCTTGTCCCTAGCTCTACTTTCCCACAAAAGTCAAAAAACTCAAAACTCACTTTCCCAGACTCCCTTGCAGCTGCAGCTTGGGATGGCCAAGTGATAGAGTTCTCACCAATAAGATACAAAAGAAATCTGACATGAATTTCTAGGGAAGCCTTTGTTTGCCTGATGCAGGCTCTAGCCCTTTCTCATTCCCTCCTTCTTCCTCATTTGTCCTGCTGCCTGAAACTCAGATGTGCTGCCTGAAGTTAGGCAACTGTCTTGAGATCATGAAGGAAAGGCCAGGAAAATCACAATAACCTCAGCTCTGCTCTCTTTAAGCCACCCAAGTGAGAACATCAAGTAGATATAAAACAAAACCTAATTTGTGTATTCCAATGTTTAATGAGATTTGTTATTTTGTGCAATTGAAACCAAACTCTAACTGAACCACCAATTGAGTGAGACTGGTATCATTATCCCCATCCTTCAATCCCAAGCTCCCTCAATGGCATGGAGTGACCTGGAGTTGAGTTGGCTCTGATGGAGAATGGAGAAGGAATCCAAGATGGGCAAAAGATAAAGGAAGTTTTAAACCTCACTTGGAAGTTAGAGTATGTCAAGCCAGAGGTCAGAGCTAACATATTTAATCATTTCTGAAGTTACTCTTAGCTAGATATTTGCTTGTTTTCTGAGACTCAACTTATACTGGGAATGGCCTGAATCACAAAGTTTCTAATCTCCCATAAATTTACCCTCATCATAGTAAATTGCTGTTTAGCAATAATTACCATCCTTACTCATTTTATTTGACAGAAAACATGAGAAACTGAGCACTCCTACTTTTAGCAGGCCTCTTGCCTAAGCTACCTTTATGTGATAAGATATATATCATATATACAAGAGAAGGTCCCAGATGGGGGTAATGGAAGTCACAATTCAATCCCTTCTTCTCAGCTCCAAATTCACTACAGAAATCCTAAAACAACTCCAGGTTGCTATTAATACATACGCTCAGTAATATACCTAAAATATTTTCAATTATTTACAAATTTTTATATGAGATAGATGAGGCAATAGACTGATATTCTCTGAAGGGCTAAAGTCCTAAAAGTTTTTTTAAAATATGATGATTATAAAGTCATATACACACATGAAGAATTCAAAACTTAGATATTAAAAAATGAGAAGTAGAAGTCTCACCAAATTGGGGTGGGGTTTAGTGATAGAAAAGAGGTGAGGAAAGTCTGTTTCACATGCTGTTTGTTTCACATCTCCGCCCGAATGTCTTCCAGCTGCTATGGGAGTCCTGTGGGGTATTAGTGCAAGACCAAATTCCAAGACTGCTGCAAACTCCAGCAACCTTTATGGGTATTTGAGAGTTTTGCCAAGATTATCAAGCTTGAGCATTATCCTTAACTATGCTAAATTTTTTGCATTATTTTAAATTTTGTCTTACATGGAATGTTTTTAACCATAAAGTTGCACACTGGCTTTAAGCACAGCTATGCTTTGTTACAAAAAATCTTAAGATGCAAAATAATTCAATTTGCAAGAGGTAAATTAGAGGCTAATTATTCTTCTCATAAAAGTATTTACCAGGGAGTTCCTCCACATCAACAATTTCTTGTGCATTTAAAATGCAATTCAATGTGCAAAAGTTTGAATTATAAATCACTTTTCAGAAACATTTTTATTGTGTCTATTAAAGGAGATGTCCCTGTTAAGCCCTTAGCAGATGCCCAGTTGATATGTGCTCAAAAAATGTTGCCCAGATTCATTATTATGCTAATAGGGGTCCATATGCATATTATATTTAATAATTGTAAAACAGTCATTTCTGAATCTTTTAGAGCTGAGGATCACAAATATGAGTGAGTACAAGAGTCATCTGATACATATTAAAACGTAAATCCTTGGACTCCACTCTCCAAAAACTCAGATAATGTGGTTCTGCAGTACAGCTGGCAGTCTACATTATCATTAAATACTCCCTGATGACGATTATGAGCATCCAGAGTTGAGTATCAATACACGGTCTGTAACATTCAGATGACATCAAGTGCTGTAACTGCTAAAAACCTCAATAACCTTCATGAGCTTTTGAGAGCTTAATGTGGCTTCTTAAGATAAATATCAAAAGGGATGATGTGCAGACTTGAATCAGCCGAATCACAACTGGCTATTTTGACTTTTGTTAGAGAAAAGAGTAGCTGAGGTTTCCCCCGGCAATGAGGAGGAACCACCTGCAGAGAAGAAGCAGACACACTCTGGGATCCACAAAGGGGCGGGCTAATTTGGGGAAATGGCAGTTGGCTATTTTTCCATTGACATCTCAGTGATCAAAGGCCAGCAATGCTGGTAGAAAACATATAGCTTTTATTTTTTTCCCTAAGATTTTTGCTGCCCTACTGCATTTCAGACCTTTTGAAAACCTGTATCCACAATCCTCAGCCTGAAATAGAGGGTATCGCTCCATCCCTGACTGGAAAATGTCGGCAGGAAGGACAGAAAAGTCACCGTCCTATCCCTTACCCCTTGCTAATGAAACTCATCATGAAGTTTCATTTACAAAGTTAGAGGAAATTACCTTCAGAAGAGGAAGGTTTATTTGTTCTTCCCTTAACCACCCTTTTCTTGTCCACTGGCCCATTAATCTTTTCCTGTGCTATAAAAAGCTTAAGAAACAACGAACCCTGGGGTTGTGCTCTGACTGACAGTTACCAAAGGGACAACCCCCTTTCCTTATCACCAAAACCCTTAGGTCTCCTAATAACAGAACTGGCCCTGGGTTTTGTTTTGTTTTTTCTAAAAAGTCCATTTATGGCTGTTGGTAGATGACATTTTCATCTCAGCCTAGACACAGTCACAGAGCTATATAATTCCTTACCCTACCAAGCTATGCATTTGTAACTTGAAGATAAAAGTTAATGGAGATGAGGTGGGTGCTTTTGTTTTCAAGTTCACTGCAGTTTAGAAATGTAAGTTAATTTCAAAGCACACTGAAGAATAAATCAGAGTAAATTCTGTTATTTAGCATTCCCTTTACCAAAAACTACTTTTAAATGGCATTTCCACATAGCAAAGTGTGATGACAAACGAGGCCCATAAGGATGACTGTGAAGGCACTAAAACATCCTGAAAGACCTTGTAAATCTGTTCCCCAAAATTAAATTATGATCTCATTTCAAAGTTAAATATGTTTTGTTATAGTCAGTTCATTGGAATGCAACTAGCAGAGTATAGTGAATATGATAACCATAAAATGGAGTGTTTAATCAAAACATCACATTCCCCAGATGACAGGTCATCAGCTTATGTGGATCCGCTACCAATATATTTCAATATATGTGTATGAACATGTGCAGGCACATACATACATTTTGTTACTTTAGTTTTCAGAGTAACCATTTTGTTACCTCAGTTTCCCCTGGCAATAGGGAAGTTTCTAGGTGGTTCCTAGGGAAATAGTTGAATCCTATTTACAACAAATATGGTATCAATGTGTTAAAATTTTGAAGATTTTGGACCTATTTCCCATTTACAGTTTCAAATTAAAGAGAAGAAATTTTTCCTAGATTGGGCTTTTACACTTACCAATCCATCTTTGTCATAGGGTGAATCAAAGTTATCCAGAAATTTCCGAAACACTTGTTCCTCACTCCATTCCCCATTCTGGTACTTCGGGTGGTGTTTTGCATTATACACTTCACGAAGGTCTTCAATTGTTATAACTCCATCTCCAGTCTTGTCTAACTTTCTGAAAGCTTGCATTATAACCTCTTTTCTGGCTCTGGACATTGGAGGCTACAAAAACAGAATAATATATGCAGAGACATACATAAGCAAATGAGCTTTTTTTGTATCCTATGTGATAAATAACTTATTCCCCTCAATGATATGAAATAATATTTGTGCACTATTATATAATGGGCACTACAATTGCTCCAAAAAATTCCTAAGTCTATTCACAGTCTTCTGCCCACCGCCCTCCCCATAGTGCACTAACAACTTCTAAAAACAAAATCTCAAAGTAGCCAACCCAAACCACGTGAAAGCCAAACTCAGCAGATATACTGATTAACAGGACCACTTACTCTTAATGTGAGAAGAAACTCATTGAAGTCTATTGTTCCATTTCCATCTTTATCAAACCTCCGGAAAAGCTCTTCTGCCTCTTCCTTTTCCATGACCACAGCATAATCATTTAACCCTTTCATAAATTCTTTAAAATCAAGGGTTCGATTATTATCGTCATCCATAATTCTAAATACTCTGAAGAAAATACATGCAAAAATTAAGAGAAATTTACAAAGAACAAGGTGTAAGTGTAAAGATTTAAAAAGAAATTGAAGCTCAAGCTTTTGTCAAAGTAAAATACAAAAGTCTTAAATTCTTCTCTCCACCCTCCCTTCCAAAAATGGAGAGCCGCTTCCCACCACACACACGCACACACATACACACACAGAGTGTAATTCTAATTACATGACCTTGTGAAAAAAACAAAACTGTGGAGACAGTAAAAAGAAGAAGGGAGAGGAAAGAGTTGAACTGGTGAAACATGGGATTTTTAGGTCAATGAAACTAGCCTTTATAATACTATGATGGAGGATATATGACATTATGCATTTGCTAAAACCCACAGAACTTTACAGAACAAGTTGTAAACCTTAATGCATATGAATTTTTTAAAAATGATTTGGGAAGTCAGAAAATCACAGAAAGGAATGCAAACTGTGACAACAGAATTTCACTATTTTATAAAAGAATGAAACATCCCAAAAAGGGGTAAAGGGATAAGAGAGAAAGGTGCTGATTTAAGTACTTTGAAAATGAGCAGGGTCTGTAAGAACACAGGAACTGCACACAATTACTGTACTGTACAGTTGATAAAGTTGTTTCCCACAGGGATACAGTTTAACCATTCTGATACTGATGTACATGTATCCCGAAGTTGAACCATCAAGTAAATGAATAACAAAGATGGAAACCAGGTTTCTTTAAGTGGGAGTGAGAATTTACAGGTAAGATAGGAAAAGAGGCATGGATTAGAGTTGGAGACATAGTGTGAACTCATGTTTAGTTTAATATAGACATAAATCATTACATATAAAAATAATTATACAAAGGTTACTATACACACATATATGTCCTTATTTTGTCAGCTGAGAAGGCCTAGAAATAATAATGCTCCAGTAACAATAAGCACGTGTACAGCCTAGGGCATGAATATACAAAATGAGACATTTCGTAGTACCAGAAAGAAAGGAAGTGCTAAAAAACAAACAACACATTGATGGGACTAAGTCAGGGATATAGGAGCCAACTTAAAGAGCTCTCAAGGCCAAGGCTGGAACAGTTTAACCAATAAAACTACATTGGATTATAACCCAAAATGTAAAAAAGAAATCCCTGCATCTGTATTGGTTTAAATAAATGGCAGAATAAATAAATGTGAGGAAAAGGACAAATTTCTTCTGCAGAAAAATTCCAAATAAGTTATGGATATACTCTGCTCTCAAGGAGGGAACACACACTCCCCACTCTCTAAGTGTGGGCTCTGCAAAGAGGTTTCCTTCCAAAGAATACGATATGGAGAAGGGAAGTAACTTTACACTGGAGAAGACTGACGAACACTCCCTCAATCAGATGATCAGCGTCAACATCAACAGTAGTAAATCATGTTCATCACACATATCCTTGGTATAATGTGATAAAAAAAAAAAAAAGGTGCTTTGCATCTACGGTCCCTAAAACCAATAAGCCCAGTTTAATCATGAAGAAAAAAATCAAAGAAATTCCAATAGGTGGGCATCCTACAAAATACTTGACCTGTCACATTCATCAAAAACCAGGAAAGTCTGAGAAACTGTCATACCCAACAGGATCCTAAGGAAATATGACAAGCAAATGTAAAGCAGAGTTCTGGATGGGATCCTGAAACAGAACAGGACACTAGGTAAAAACTAAGAAAGTATGAATACACGATGGGCCTTAGTTAATAATAATGTGTTGGCACTCGTTTTTAAAGTAGTCTATTTAAAAAATAAAAATGTAACTTTTTTTAAGCTTTCATCTTTGTTAATAGACTTAAAGGTCCCAAAGTCTTCCCATTTCCCATTAAAGGAAAGCAGAAAATGTAGGTAAGTACTTTGAAAACCCTATGGTTTTCAAAAGTCATTAAAAAGTTAGAAAACAACAGATGCTGGAGAGGATGTAGAAAAATAAGAGTTCTTTTACACTGTTGGTGGGAGTGTAAATTAGATCAACCATTATGGAAGACAGTGTGGGAATTCCTCAAAGATCTAGAACCAAAAATATCATTTGACCCAATAATCCCATTACTGGGTATATACCCAAAGGATTATAAATCATTCTACTATAAAGACATGTGCACATGTATGTTTATTGCAGCACTATTCACAATAGCAAAGACTTGGAACCAACTCAAATGCCCAATGATAGACCAGATAAAGAAAATGTGGCACATAAACACCATGGAATACTATGCAGTCATAAAAAAAGAATGAGTTCATGTCCTTTGCAGGGACATGGATGAAGCTGGAAACCATCAATCTTAGCAAACTAACGCAGGAACAGAAAACCAAACACTGCATATTCTCACTCATAAGTGGGAGCTGAACAATGAGAACACATGGATACTCGGAGGAGAACATCAAACACCAGGGTCTTTCTGAGGGTGGGGGGCTTGGGGAAGGAGACCATTAGGAGAAATCCTTAATGTGGATGATGGGTTGATGGGTGCAGCAAACCACCATGGCACGTGTATACCTATGTAACAAACCTGCACGTTCTGTGCATGTACCCTAGAACTTAAAGTATAATAAAAAAAAAAAAAATGGAAAGTTGGATTAATCAGAACCTGAAGACTTTAAATGTCCTAAAATGCTAAAGAGCTTGAACTTTATTAGCAAGTTATTTTTAAAGTTATTAAATGGTTGACTTGAAGTGACATTATCAAAATAATGAGAACTTTAGCAATGAATTGGAGGACTGAAAACTTAGAAGCAAAGGAACCAGTAAGAATACCATCATAAGAGTCCAGTGAAAAATGCTGAGTGTCTACACTTAAGCGATTGGAAAGAAAATAAGAAAAAAAGTTTTCAAGATATTATAGAAATAAAGGAGTGAATATGGTGGGCTAATGATGATAATTCTAAAGTTTTCAGCTCAAGGACCTGGAAGAGTTGTAATACCTTTAAAAAAGTAGGGGCTGCTGGGAAACCTTTTTTAAAAAAAAAAAAAAAAAAAAAACCTTTGTTTTATTTGGATAGTAAGCCAACTACATAGAGATATTCACTGGTTAGTTGGTTTGTTAGCTAGTATCTTTCCTGATAAAAGAAAATACATAAATTGTTAAATTAGTTTGGATCTCAGGAATGGGTATCTTGCCAAGAATTTGGCAAGGGGCCAGGGTAGAATGTGCTAACTCAACTGTACCCAAGATATCTGATAAATTAAGGATGCTGGCAAAAGAATTTTGAGAATTTAGATACTAGAGAAGTATCTACATTTACAAGGGAATTAGAAATGACTAAGAAAGAACATATACTATTGAAAACCACAAGAATTTGGTGTCAAAAAATGAAGGTATCAAGGTTAAAAATAATAGAGTCAGCTTGATCTTGGTTAGGATAAAGACTCAGACAGGGTGGAAAGATGGGTCCAGGAGCCAGTGCTGAGTGCTATGCCAGCGGCGGGGGGAAGGCAGAGCCTAACCTGACGAGATGCCCTTCTACGGCAGGATTTATGGGAAATAAATAAATGAACAAAGTGGGGAATATGACCTGGGATTTGGAGTTAGACTGAAGTAGAGTGTTTAGTCTTCAACTACCCCTAAGACAGGAGTGGAGGGGAAGGGGCAGCTTCCACTTGAGTTAGGAGGTACTTAGAGAAGGCCAAGGCCAGCAAGGGAGGCAGACAGCACATTCTGCAAAGGGCTTAGGATGGAATGGTGTCTGTTCACCGTCAGCTGGTTCTTAGTGGAAAGGCTGGTAGAGATGCAGTGTGCAGTGGGAATGGGGTGAAGACAACACAGACAGCAGGAGGGATTCCACTGAGTGGACCAGAGAGTGGAAGAGAGGATTCCTCAAGAGGATTCCTACATTGTCCTTCCGCACAATGATGTGCACCCATGATGAAAGGGGTAGAGGTTGAAGTCACACAATATTGAGGGCAAGAGGGCTGGTCTTCCCATTGGACTGGGACATTCTGGCCACCAGGGTGCACAACACCACTGCCTGGCCTTGTGACAGAGTTGGGCTTAGTCTGAAATTTGGGACTATTCAGAGTTTTCTCCCGGGCACTCAGTACCTTCTGGAAGTAAAGCCTTCCACGTTGTCTGGGTGCAAGGCTGGATTTCCCTCCCATTGGCACCCTGTACTTCTCTAATATACAACTCCTCACACCACTGAGAGACCATTTACTTCACTCATACGCTCCATAGTCTTAGTCTTCCATGGGGGCTTAAGAAGCCTTGTTCACACATGGGTCCCTAAGATGTGTCCAATGCCTGGCCCATAGCAGGCTCTTGATGGAGTTTGTTATAATGCACAGGACCTGCCCTCAGGAGGCTCACAGTCTCCTTTCTTCTTGGGTTTCTCAGTCCTTAAAACTATTCACACTGTCAAAGGGCAGAGGGTGGGAGAACAGGAGCTACCCAGCTGAGAGAACCCCATTGGCAGCGAGCTGTCGGTTATCTGACAAGCAATACCAGTGTCCCTAGAAGTGACAGAGATATGATTGCCTGAGAGCAAAACTCCAAATTCTGCAACTAGAGCTAAATCGCTGCTGTTCCTTCCTCCCTCTTCCATCCTGGCCATTATTACCACAGCTGCAGAGAGACTTATTGTCCTGGTGGGCATCTCCACGCCAGGGCCGTGCTTCTCCCTTACCTCATACTTTCCCAGAGCTGCACTGTCTTGTAGCAGAGAGCAGTCTTGCTGAGTCTGGGACTAAGATCCAAAAACTGTCACAGGGACCTCAGAGATCAACTCTTCTAAACTCTACATTTTACAAATAAGGAACTGAGCCCCTAGGAAGAAATGACTTGCTCAAGACCATGTGACCAACATCAGTCTTACCTGGCCGATTCCGTGCCTTCCCACTCCATTCCCTACCACCTGTCACTAGGTCCTACCTGCCAAGTCCTTTGATGCCTGCAGAGCCCCTGGCCAGGCATTGCAGTCGGAGTCTTTCAATGGGGTCGGTGGCTGTGGTGAGCTTTTTCTTGGCCTGGATCGCCATCTCTCGGTCATGGCGTGCTGTCCCTGCCATCTGAGGAGGGAAGCCATAGCATGTCAGTAGAGTCCAGGCCTCATCGCTGCCTCTGGCTGGGCAGGGTGACAGCAGCCTCACTGAGAAGGAAATGTACAGCCTTCTCCGTCAGAAAACTTCTTGGAATTTCCAATTTTTCTCTATGCCAACTGTGTGCCTGGCATATTTATAACTTACTTATCTGGTTTTGCTAGCCTAAACAATAGTCTTAAATATAACACCATTTCCCAAGGTGCTTTGATCTTTCTGAAGCCCTCCCTCCATAAAAGAAGTCCAATTTCTCTGTACTCTCTTTTTTGAACCAACCTTATATGCCATATTATTTTATGTAGAATTTTCCATATTCCCTTGACCCTCACATTCAATATTCTCGTCTTTGGTCTAGACCCTGTTTTTGTTCCCTCTGTCTTGAATGAGATTTTCAGCACTTGATCCTTAATGATTTGTACCAGCAATGGGTATGGTCCCCTTGATTCACAGGTTAGTGTTCACTAACACCTAACAACGTTCTCGGGGTGGGTGCAGTGAAGTGCTGTGTCATGAGTGGTCCCCAAGGGACATACAAACTCCTGTAGCCACACTCTAGCTCTCAAAACTTATGCAGCAGTGGTAAGAGCACTGGGCTGGGAGCCTGGAGACCCGGGTTCTAGTCCTGACTTTTCAATCCCCATCCCCCAACTTCCCTCACCCCTCACCTTCATCTGCCTGGGAACATCTGAGTGAATTTCACAGCCTGTGTTTCCTCCTCTGTTAAATGGAAGGATTGGATAAGATGGTCTTTAAATTCCACCCCAGGTTCAAAAAACACTAATTTTCATGACATAGTAAATGGAGCATTCTAGAAATTACTTTAATGTGAGTTGTGAATGAAAAGAATGAGAGGAAAGAGGCTTGAAGAATGTGCAAAAAACCGCATGCAAGGTGCAGAAAAAAAAATTATTAGAATATGGTTCCTCCCTGGGTTTAAGTCTCCCTCCCCAGCCAAATTCTGGCACTTCCCCTAAGTGCTACATTAGGACAGAATTGTTTTCATCAAAGACAGCAACCCGCAGACTCACAACCTCTTCTATGCCAAGACTGTTGTTCTCCTATACAACCTGAAAGGTCTCCCCCACACGGTACTCATTATTTGACATTTGGGAACAGGAATCTCATCAAGCCAATGACTGGGACCAGAATAGACAATCCAGGTTTGCACACACTTAACATGGCCACTTTCTTGCAGCCTCCCCTGAGCCCATGTACAGGATCCCTACTTCTTGCCCTGTATCCAGATTCCCAGTATGTAGGTGAAGATGGAAGGAATTCCTTTCAGTTCTTTTGAACCTTCAATCAAGAAGGAGACCTGTCTAGGTCTCAGCTGCTTTACCCCTCATTAGCTTTGTCTAAAGCTACACAGTCTTCCTCTGCTTCCTCTGGCACCTAAGAGAGGTTCCCTGGAATTCCAGACAGTGGCACATACTGCTCTTAGAGACTTCCATCTCCGTTCTTGCCAGGCACACACAAGGAGCATGTTCCGATTCTCATCTAACAGGGACGCCTGCAGCCCAGATTGTGGCCTTTCTGGCAGCTTTACCTTTCTTATAACTGGTGTTTGCTTATTACTGTTTTGTCCTGACCTCAAGCTGACAATTCCCACAGCTCATTTCCAGCTTCAGCACTAGCTTTCCCCTCATTAACAGCCAGAATCTTGATCTCATGGACAAGACTACCAATTCACTCATCTAGCCGTCTCCCACAGCCCTACTCATCCTTGAATAAGCCATTCTCTTGCCCTGACCATATTCTGCTAGTGGCATGAGCCCCATCCCCACCCAAACCCCTATGGAAGCAGGAACTGGTGTCAACGACATGCCCTTCTCATTCTCTAAACCCACCTCAGAGTCTTGATCTTCCCAGGACCACCATTGTCTTTGCTGACCTTCCGCCTTGCTTCATGATACTTGCCCAGTGGTTGTCCCCAGTCACTCAACTCCCGTTCTCATTTCCCATGACATCTCCCCTACCTTCTCCACTGTATTCACTTTGCTCTGGGTTTTCCCTGCCATCCATGACAGCAAGTGAGACTTAAGAGAAACAGAGACTAAAAACCAGTAATGGAGAGAAAGTGAGATCTGGCTCCCAGATCTGGGACAGATTCCCAGTGGAACCCTCTTTGCACACCTTCAGAATAATATTAAAGGCATTAAGGGTACCCCCACTAGGTAGTAAGCCTGTATCCAGTTCCCACAAAAACCCTGTGAGCTGAACTGAAAACAGAAACTCAAACAACTGCCCGTATACCCATGTTTACAGCGGCATTATTCACGGCAGCCAAGAGGTCGAAACAAACCCAGTGTCCATCCAAGGATAAACGGATAAACGAATTGTGGTATAGCCATGCAATGGAATATTCTCCAGCCATAAAAAGGAACACAGTACTGATAGATATCACAATGTGGATAAACCTTGGCCACATTATGCTAAGTGCAAGAAGCCAGACACAAAATGCCACACCTTGTACGATTTCATTTATGTGTGATATTTGGAAAAGGCAAATTCATAGAGACAGAAAGCAAATTAATAATTGCAAAGGGCCAGTGGTGGGAGGGCCCGTGGGGAGTGACTACTTAATGAGTACAAAATTTCCTTTGGGGTAATGAAATGTTTTGGAACTTGATATAGGTGGTGGCTTATCAACATTGTAAATGTAATATACACTTTAAAATGGCTAATTTATGTTATACGAATTCATCTCAATAAAAGAAAACCCATGTGCATGTTACTAGCTAAATTTAGTCATTCCATAATTATACATACTTCAAAGCATCATGGTATACAAGGTAAACACATACAACTTTATCTGACAATTTAAAAAAATACTGGGCACATGGTCATCTTGGTAAATTAATGAAAGTCAAAGAAGAAAAGCAAGCCCATGAGCCAGTTACTACTATTATTGGTATTTCACAGATAAATTAGGATGCAGAGAAATCATGTAACATGCCCAGGTCACACGGAAATGTGGCTCACAGTAATCCACACACTGTTAGGGCGTAAGACCCTTGAAGATCCTCTAGCTCAACCTCATTTTGCAGACTTGGAAACTAAGCCTTGGGCTGGCCAAGTGACTTGCCCAAAAGTCCTGGCCAAGACCAACACAGAGGGTTCCTGATTCCCAAGCAGGTCTCTTTCTGCTTCATCATGTTTGTGGTTTGTGAAATGATGTGTAAGAATCTCAAAGCACACTTTGATGGTGCTTTCTCATAAGAAAGTGGGATCGAATCCAGCAAGGCAAGAAACAGTGAGCCCAGTACCTCAGGCTGTCCGGCCTCCTGAGGCTGACCTTACCCAGTGATGATATAGGCAGTTTCTTCTGGAGTCTAATTTGATAAATTCGGGGGGGAGGGGGTTGGGGAGTCCATTCTCTCCTGCTAGTCTACCATGAAACTTGAAATGCCCTTAGTAACCATCCTTTTTAATCATTCAGTCATCCAGTTCACCAACCACTAGCTAAGTTTATTGTGCTCTTTTCAAGGCACTATGCTGGGACAGAGTGTGGGGGTGTGAGGAATTTCTCAGAAGAGCAAGCCCTTGAATAGCCTAGAGTCTTCATTAGTTTGAATCCTGATCTCCTGTATTGGAGCAGAATGGAAAACATAAAGTTTATTAAGCACCGGGGCTTTTGAGGAAGGCAGGGTTGCACAGGATCGCAAGTGAAGAAGGGAGATGCTCAACTTTGAAGTTTCAACAAAGGCGCCAGGCACCAGGGCAAGAGTCGGTCCCCATACATATGTCACCGACTTCACAGCAGTGCACAAAGTGTCTCTGCCACAGAAGACCCTGTCTGAACCTTTAGGATCCGCCGTGGTGACAACGGAGCGCATCGCGGTGCAAGGGGAGGAGGCTGCGCTCCCGACGCACGTGGCCGCAGCGCCACCAAGTGTTCTCAGGCGTCTGCACATGCCCCCGCCAGGAGTGCTGTTCAGTCTCTGCTTTCCACACAAGCCTACTAAGTGGTCAGAAAGTCACGCACTGTGCTAGGGGTAGGACGAAAGAGGGACCAAGACAAGACAAGGCTTACAGCTGGGGGCTGAGTGGGGGATGCAATCACAAGAGGACGGTTGGCTTACCTGGCCTGGGAGTGGGACTTTCTGAGGACCTCTCAGAGGAGGTGATGTCTGAGCTTTCATCCTAATGGAAGGTGGTAGTTATTGAGGCTGGGGACGCGGTGGATAGAGGATATTTTAGGCCTGGCGCGGTGGCTCACGCCTGTAATTCCAGCACTTTGGGAGACCACGGTGGGTGGATCACCTGAAGTCGGAAGTTCAAGACCAGCCTGACCAACGTGGAGAAACCTCATCTCTACTAAAAATAGAAAATTAGCCAGGTGTGGTGGCGCATGCCTGTAATCCCAGCTACTTGGGAGGCTGAGGCAGGAGAATCGCTTGAACCTGGGAGGCAGAGGTTGCAGTGAGCCGAGATGTCGCCATTGCACTCCAGCCTGGGCAACAAGAGTGAAAGTTGGTGAAGAAGGAGGAGGAGGAGGAGGAGGAGGAGGAGAAGGAGGAAGAGGGGGGAGAGGAGGAGATGACTTTAGATAGCAGGTGTACCAACTACTTAGACCAAGGTGAGAGAAAAAGCAGTATCATTAGGAAAGTACAAGTACCTCAGTATGGTTGGAGAATAGAGGTATAGGTGGCAGGGGGAGATGAATAGTCGTGGAGATTTGCAGGGAGTAGGGAAAGGGGAATGTTAGGTAAAAAGGAAACTGACCAGGCGGGCAGCCACCAGATCCCAAAGATCCTGGGGTGCCAGGGTGGAGTTTGGATTTCGAGAGCAACAGGAGACCACAAGCCTTCTTTCAAAAAATGGAATGGCCATTTGCATTGTAAAGTGAGAAGAACGGATAAGAAGGTGGGACAGGCTAGCCAGTGGGAGACTTGTTTCCAGCTATGCTGCCTGGACGGTGTGGAGGGGACAGAGGAAGACATACAAGATGGCCAGTGGCAGAACGTGCA